TATTTTTTTTATATGTATATATTTTTTTTTTTTAATTCAAAGTAATACCCCTTGAGAAATGCAAAAAAACCCGGGGAGCATATGAGGAATTCACAGCTTTCTAACTCTTTTCAAGCTGTGATCCTTCCAATGCACTATATTTACGCCTCCCATCGCTGTCCTCAGTAGTACACCGCATGGTACAAGTAGAACTTCTCATGCCTAAAATAGAAGACCTTGTTCTTTGCAGCAGGTGGATTTTTAAAATATAATGGTAGTCGAGAAAATACTGTTCCTAGAAAACCTGTGTTTGCTATGTTAATAGCATTCCTGACACACAGCTTTGATTCTGTGAAGATGAGTAGGTCTCAAACTCATATTCCTGAGATGTGACATCATTCTGCATTAGATCATGAAGCCTTCCACACTCCCCTGTAGTTTACTGACAGATGAACCTGTCATCCATACAAATAGCTTGCTATAACTTCACTACCTTAAATTAGCTTCTGTCCTAGATTAACTGAAATAATGTTGCTTTAGGCTACGGGAATTTATATAGCTCTGCTCTACTTTAGTTCAATCAAAATAAGTCGCATGAAATATTTTAAAAGCTAATAGCCTTTCCCCCACATAGGTGACCCAGATGTATAATACCTATGGAGCTGAGACTACAAAATGTTTGTCCTTCAGTGCCACATTTATATTTATTTTTTGCAATGTAAATCTACTGTTAATTCTAAACTGCATGCTATCTTGTTCCATCTATTGCAAAATTGCTACAAATTTAAAAGAAAAATTAATAAGTAACAGCATAATATCATCGTTTTTCTCTATCTCCAATAAAGCCAGGTACTTGAGATTCATAGAGAGAAATTTCTTCTACTGAAAGAGAATAATTTAGAGCAAACTCAGAAGGCCAATCATCAATTGGAATCTGGTGCTTTCTACATCATAAAATAAAAGCTGCAATTACACAACTTGATACGTGAACTTCTTATTCTGCAAATAACTGTTGAAAACTCTTCTACAGCTTATGCCTTGCCTTGAGGCCAAGGTATCTGCGACTATGGAATACTGCTGACGTCTCCCTAGCCTATTGTCTCTCTCTGAAGACATTGCCTGGCACCAGCCCAAACAGAAAACAGTTGTTTACTTTCTGACAGCAAGAAATGGCTAATGGCAGCTCTACTGCTAACTGTGAAAACACCAAATAAAGAACACAGATCCCCAAATCCCAAAGTTCAGGAAGTGACTAATTATAAAAAATAGCAAAAGCCATTACTTGATAGGGGTGCGCAGAGGCGCATATTTACTCCACTCGTATTTTAGGATCTTGGACATACATATTCCAGAATTCAGACAGGTTTGTCAGAACAGTACCCTGGCCTAAAAAAGTAAATTCTCCTAAGAGGCTTATTTCAAAAAGTAATGAAGCCCAAGGAACTTGATATCCACTGAAAAACAGTAACATTCTTCTGTAATGTAAGTTCATAATTATTTTAAAATAAAAACATCAGAAAAGTGTATCCTGACAGCATATGCCATGCATTGAAAGGTATATTAGGAGATAAATAAAATCTCTGTCTTTGTAATCTTCAGAGAAGTAATCAACATGGTTATGCTCTAGAAAAAATACCAGATGTGCAAGTAATGGGCTACTCTGTGATTTCTCTCCTAGTCCTCATGAACCTTCACACGTATGACCACTGAAGTCAGTAACTTAAATTTCTTGACTAAAATTTACCATCTGAATGAGAGATTCACTATTCAGCGATAAAATCATTTGAAGCTTCAGCTGAAATTATAGGAAAATCATTAGTCTTTTTACTTATGCAACAGACATCGTAAATCTGTCTCAAGGAGCTAATTTTTAGCAGGCTCCTGCATTTTTCATTATGGATTAAATACAATATTTCACTAAACCAGATAGATAAAATCTGGTCGGTTTTCATTTTCAAGATTAATACAATTTTATGTTGTTATTGTAGCTGAAGATTACTAAATACACAACTACTGTTGGACTATTTATCTAATGATAAAGCCTATGCAATTACCATAATTATATAGCAGTGCTCTGGTATAAATAGGTGCTGTAGTGTACAAGCTGGTATAAAAGTGAAATGGAAAAATATACACATGAAGAGGGAAACTTAATACAGCTGAAAATGGGAAGTTAAAGTTACAAAATAATGTATCAAGAAAGCCTGGTCAGGGCCATTAAGGTCTGCTGGTACAGACCACAAAGAAATTATGTATAGTAGTAATGCAATTAATGTACATACTATACATTTGCACACAAGAATTGTATGAAGTGTGAACTTCCTTTCTGTTTTGATTGCATGCACACCAAAAAGAAGTTTTGCTGCTTCTTGAAGTTTTAAACTCCAAACTCATGCCTCTAGCAGGTTGATTTCGTTCTCCCATGAAAGACATACTGTGATAATTTGAAACCGAAAATTGTAAATGCTATTTTAAAATAAAAGCTGTCAAGTGAATAGGGAATGCTTTGGAAAAGTATCAGTTTATGGACAACACCCAGCTGAGGCTATTTAGGCAGAAAACTAGTGGTCTGCAGTGGTGGAATCTAAATTACGCAGTCCTAAGAGTGAACTAGAAGACTGAGAAGCAAATAGGGACAGACAAGTGAATGAGTAAATTAAGGCAAATTATAGCATGAAATGAATATTTACAACTAACGATTGTATAAAAAGTCTATTTCACAGAAAAGTTCATCCTCCTCTGGAGAGAAGTAAGAGAAAGACAGCTAACATTGTTATGTTTACTTTTGTCAGACTAGTTATTCCAGTTAACAAAATAAATTGGAAGCCTTTAAAATAAATGTGGCTCTGCACTATATTTGTAATAGATCAAGAACAAGAGTCCAAATGGGCAATATTCACAGACACTGATCCCACGATGCTTCTGGCTCAAATAAAGATTCTATTACCACCAAAGGAACACTAGCGTTGAACATGATAATTAATTAAGAATTGGTAGTTCAATGCAAATTTATATATAGATACTTGTATATAAAAAGAATACCTTTTCCCCTTCATAAGAATGATAACTAATTATACTATAAATACTCACCTTGTGGTTGACGACTTGGATGATATATCTGAAGATCAAATGGCTGAGCACTTGTTTTTTGTATTACACTGACATTTTGGCCAGTCCATTTATTGGCTTTTGCAAGTGTATTGGTCCGCCAATCTGTCCAATATACTTCACTCCCATACAAAGAAACAGCAAAAGGGTGAGAAAGATATTCATGACCCCGTATTATCTCTATCATCCCGGTTCCATCATATAATGCAGAATAAATGGCATCCGATCTGCAAGATAACCCAAAACTTAAGATTACATAAAAATTAAATAAAAATCACACAACCATCATGTCATTGGTGCAAAAAGTATAAAACCCTTAATTTTACATACTGTTAAGACCCCAATAAAATGTTTACAGCACAATCATCAACTTCAGAGTTGCCATAGTTCACATTATTAATTTAACTAGGGATATGAAATGCTTTGCTTGCATACTGCTTTTCAAAGTCAAATGTACTTCCATGCTGTGAAAATACAGCAGGAAAATCAGTTTCTGTTCCAATGTACTCACAGAAAAAAAATAGTGAAATAGCTTGTGTCTTCCATGTCTAAGTGTGAGGGCCAGTGTCTAACGGCCAATTGCTCTGTAGGCACAGGGAGCCAGGAGCCACAGATGAGACCCCAGCTGGCAGGGCAGAGGCCTCACTGTCCAGGGACACATCCCACTGCCCCTGAGTGCGGTGAGCCATTTACCACGTAATTCACATTTCTGTATGTAAGGATAAGGATTTATAGACAGAATACAGTTATGACTTTACCTAGCATCTGTCCATACTATTCTTTTTTCAAAGTGATCTACAGTAAGGCCGTTCGGCCAGGCTCCAGTATCCATATCTTTGTATATGATCTTCCTTTCTGCTCCGCTCATGGAAGCGGATTCAATGCGAGGAAAATTTGCATCCCAGTCTGTCCAAAACAGAATTCTGGTGAGAGGGGGAAAAAAAAAAAAGAAAAAAAAAAAAGGAAAAAGAGATACAGGAAAATATTAAAGCATGCAGAATAATTTCAAATGGTTCAATAAGACAATAGTTGGGCAAAAGGTTGAAACATTCGCATGTTTTAAATGAAAGGCATAAACAGATTATTTTGGTCAGCCACAAAAATTTCTTGAAGTAACAGGGTAACATGGAGGTAATATTTCATTATTAGTGTTAGAGCAATCATGAAACTCAAGAAGTTTTTTAAAAACTATTAGTTAATAGCGTTCCCTTTCTCACGTCCACTAATATAAGTAACAGCTTGTCTTGTCTTCCTTCTATAATTAGCAACCCAGCTCATTAAAAGGAATTATAATGAGAGCCTTTGAAAGCGAGCCACAGACGAGAAGGATTGGCGGGGGGGGGGGGGGGAGGGCGGGGGGGGGGGTGGAGAAAGGGAAGAAAGGTGAGTTGAGATAGCAGGTATTAAGGAACATGGTAAACTACATATTTTCGTTTATTAGCAAGCGTCCCAGTTGAAGACCCCTAGATTTTGGTATGTCACTGAGGAATTTTATTTCTTGCTAAGAAAACTGAAAAGATGCATTGTATGGTAGGCTCGCTCAGTTATGTACTATCTCTGGGGGGTGGAGAAAGGGAAGAAAGGTGAGTTGAGATAGCAGGTATTAAGGAACATGGTAAACTACATATTTTCGTTTATTAGCAAGCGTCCCAGTTGAAGACCCCTAGATTTTGGTATGTCACTGAGGAATTTTATTTCTTGCTAAGAAAACTGAAAAGATGCATTGTATGGTAGGCTCGCTCAGTTATGTACTATCTCTGATTTTTTTCCAGTAAGGAGAGTTTTCAGCTTCATAACCAAAGAAGTTTCTTGTTAAGTAACAGAAGCCGTGTCACCCAAAGGCCAGAAATGCACTCTAACTCTTCTTAGCTTATTAAGTTTTCAGTAACACATTTTTTTTTTATTTGTTAAAGAATACCTTTGATACAAAAACTTTTAACTAGCTATAAAGAGCTAATTGCAGAGAGTAAGACTGTAACAAACCTTTCAAAAAGTAACATGAGACAGCTTCAATCCTGAACATATATTTTAATAATAAGGCCTCTGCATTTAGTGCCTGTGAACAACAGTAGGTGTCACACTTAAATCTTTGTGAGAGGCAGCTGGGCACAGGGAGGATTCAGGGCTAGCTACTGGAAGACTGGGAGGGACTGAGTGCCTACACCCAGCTACAGTAGTGCATGTGATGGGATCCTTACCAGCAGCTGGCATGGGGCTGCCGCCTCGGGGGCTCAGACGTCCTGGAGCCAGAAGCTGGGCAGCACAGTGATGCTGGGGGCAGCCACTGGGCAGACTGACTTCCTAAACCCAGCTACTGGAGGAATCTATGTGATATATTTCCCACTAAAAGATCTTCATCCTTCACAGCCAGAGAGGTTAACAGGATGAGACCATTAGTGCTGCTTGTGTCTGTGCTGAGGGTTTCTGCCTGTGTAGACCTCTGTGGCCACACATGTGTATATGTGTATACATTTATTTATACATGCATCTGTGTGCATGGACTGAGAATACGTACTCAGCCTCGCTGCAGGTTGGAATCAAAGATATGGAGCTAGCTATGGCAGACTCGTCTCCATTGGGATACAGGATTTGTGCAACCCTCACACAACCATCTACTGTGAATCATCAGTGTTTATTTATTCATATTTATTTGTGGAAAGATTGAGGAGCTGTTCCCATCTGTGTTCAAAGATTTTATTCTTTACTCACTTCTAACAAAATCTAGCATACAATTGCTTCTAGCTTTTCAAAAGGTAGACTAAGCCTTCAGCTTCAGAGAGAGTGGTGATTTGATTTTTTTTTTTCCTCCCAACCATTTAATTTGAACAACTTATCTGTCAATTCTTCTGCCTACAGGATGCCTCTTTTTAAAGATCTCTATAGATAAGCAATGCACTCTGTAAATACGTTTTCTAGAATCTGAATTGAGAGGGCAGGGCCCTTACTCATTAAAGCATGTATTTCCTAATTCAAAATTTTAGGTCATAGAGGGACCTCAGGTCCCAGAATCTGCGACTTTTATATACTTTTATTTTTATGTCCGCAGCAGCATTTCTGAAATAAATATTCAGTGAAGACACATGATAGAACATAGCAGCTTCCTAAACAAAATAAAATATAATGATTCTGCAAACACATTGTAATTTATGCTATGTTTGGCCACAAATATATGTATTTTTTTTTCTATCTGAAAGAACAATAATTATAAGAGGATGTAACTATTGACCATTACCTTTTGGCCATTCTAAGAGGATCCTGCTACACACAATATGGGATATAAGGTTTCTGTAATGAGTTTGAAATTTCATTTAGCCTCAAAACACTGCTCTAACTACAAGAATCATAAAAACTTTTGTAGTAGCAGAGTGGATTTCAATACAGAATCAGAACTAACACCTAGCTCAACAGGCAGTTAAAGGGTTCCCTTCTAGTACTTTAGTCAATTGACTTAAATTTTAATAAAATTTACATGTATGGGTCATTTTTGTTCTGCCAAAAAAAGGATAGTCTAATTTTAAAAGGAAGCAAAAATATCCTAAGCAAGGTCTTAATGCTAATGGGTTGTTAACTGTGAAGATTTTAAAACAGAATTGTGAAATACATTTACATGTTTCATAATCGTTAAAATTACACTTTCTGGGAGAAGAGTTTTTATTGTGTTACCATATTACCAAAAGCCAGGCAATATTTTAATTTAAACATACTTTTTTTAAACACCTAATTTTGGTCGATTTTAATTTTTTTTGATATTATGAAAACATTCTTATATTTATTAGAAACATTTAATTATGACAGGCATTAGATAAAATACATATTTATGGTAATAGGCTGAATCTACTACACTCTGTTATGATTAATAATATTCCAGTTTATAGAACATCCCTTGTGAATAGGTATAAAAAAATATTGACAGAAGTTGGCATCCATTACCTCAATTTTAAAGATGGAGAACCAAACACTAAAGGTGGGATTTACCTCACTCAACTTTTAGTCTTCCAGTAACATCTAAGACACACTTTGATAGTCCCACCAAAAAAAAATCAATCTCTAAGTGAGATGAATCACCTTGGCAATAGCTACATCTGTCCATTAACCACACAGGAAGGTTAGACCAAAGGCTCCAGTTACTACCATCCACATTAAAAAAATAGATGAAACAATTACATAACAAAGGAAGTAATTTGCCAACAAATAGACTCCTGTATCTCCTGACTTACCTTTTCTTAACCCTTTTCATTGGGGCAAAACACACTAATAATGGATTGTAGTTCATTCAAAATATACTTTCAAGAACTGTTAAAGACAAGTGAGGAACTATAAGTCACAGCAAAAATGGAAATCAAACAATCTCACATTTAAACCTCTATCTTTAAAATACTTTGAAACACAGAAAAGTAATCTTTTAATAGTTACCCATATCTGGGATCCAAAGCAATAGCCCTTGGATGTTCCATAGCTCCTGCTATTAATGTTGTTCTCAAAGTGCCATCTAGTTTTGCTACTTCAATTTGGTCCAAATTGCTGTCTATCCAGTATATATTTCCCGCAATCCAATCTACAGTAAGACCTTCAGGTGTGGCCAGGCCATGTTGTACTACCACCTCAACGGCACTAACACCTTTAAAAAAAAAAAAAAAATTAAAAAGAGAATCTTAAGGAATTAATATAGAGTCTGATATAGTGAACATGGACATACAAGTCTATCTCTTGGAGTGAATTCTTGATTAATCTGATGGATGATAATTTGTTCCACATGACATTTTTCTTTGCAAATGAGGTAGACTGCTGTACATAAGTACACTTTTGACAGTATACAAATAAAATTCATTACACAGTAACAGAAATTTTGAATTCTCTGATGGTTTAGTAAGTAAAGCTCTGAAACTTTCCATAAGAATCAGGGATCACAGGCAGAATAACACAGGAGACATACATATGCCCTTTTACCAGGGACCTATTTTGCATTCATGAAGGACACGCTCATGCTTTGCCTCCCAGTGAGCAGACATTCTAGACAAAACTCATGCAGCTCTATTTCAGCTCCTTCTCAATCAGAAAAAGAGAAAACTGAAAGACTCTGATGAAGACTGAAATGGCAGGGAGAATCCTGTTTGGACTACGTATTTTGAAAATTTCTACAATAGCCTTACTTTGTTCCTTTGAATTCACATGTATAATCCATACTGTCACTGTCTATAAAGAGCTCTTCCCTACCAAATTTTTCACATAAATGGCAACTACAGAAGAATCCTGTTAGCCCTCAGGACTTCAGGAAGGAACAGTGCTTTTTGCAGATGCAAGTCAGCTCTTGACAGTTGCAAGACGGAGTGAGTAAATTAGTTTTTATTTAATACAGCACAAAGGTCACTTGGGTTCTGGTCCAGTGTGATTGTAACACAACGTGACAACAACACGGACTACCTCACTGGTTTCATACAAACACAACCATTAACGACAAGTAGCAAGTCTTTGGCTGTCTTTACATACTCAGCAGTGTAAGATATTTCTTTCTAATCCACAAATACCTTCTACTAAGGAGAAGACAAAAACCCAGAGAACAAAACCAAATGTGTCTGAGAACATATGCAGGAAT